ACCTGCCCTCATCCTCCCATCCCTGCATCCACACCGCTAAGTCAAGAGCAGCTGAGTCCACATACAAGACTTTTCTCTCTGTGTGTCTGGCTGCCTCCTCACATTCGTTATTACTTCCCTACTCCAGGAAAGAAATGAGCTCCTTGCCTGCCAGCGCCAGCAGAATTCATTTACCCCCTTCCCAGCAGGGCCAGTGCCTGCTAACAGCACGAGAGGTTTCTCACGAGCATTGCCAGCCAGCTCCATACTGCTTTAAATGAAACACTTCCATCAATGCTACAGGTGGGCTCCAGCTACAAATTTAGTCTCTGGATCTGAACGTGACTCAAATTTGAGAGCAGCTTGTTACAAAGATGGACCCAAGCTAATGTGTCTTTCACTCAACTGGACACAAATCCCTTCCTCTCTACTTAAGGGCGAGGAAAGGCCTTTACAAGCAGGGAAGCCAAGTCATTACAGCACGACCGCTCTGCAGTCAGACCCAGGAATCTCACTAGCTCACTGTTGCTGAGGACCTTAGTATTCAGTAAAGGTCTCTAAACAGTACATACAGACCCTTACCTTGGCATAATTCAAGTAGGAGGTAACCTGGGGCAGCAGTCCGATGAGGGCTGTAAAAACACTGCCTTAAGCTCAGTCAGTACCAGGTCTCTGCTCTTCCAGTTCCTTGAGGATGGCACAATTCAATCCTGTGAGAGTATATCTGTTAGGTCCCCTCCTCCCTGCTTGGCCCCTGCAATGGTTTGTCATGGTGCTCAGCCAAAACTTACATACCTCCAGCCCTGCTGGCTAGCAAGGAGGAGCGAGGATGATCAGCCCTTTCAGCTGGCAGGAGAGCCCATAGAGCAGAGCAGCAGGTGAGAGGGCAGGGGATGAGGGCTGGAGACTGGATGAGCTCTGCCTCACCACACTCCTCATCCATCTGCCTCCACATCCCAGGGGATGCACAGCCAGGACTGTCATGGGGGAAAGCCAAGGCCCAAATCACCCCCTTGATCTCCCTCCACCACCAGAAGCCACAGGCAAACAACATCCAGGGGCTGGGCACACAAAGGCATTGGAGAGGTTCTTCTTCCTCAGGTTGCTCTTAGCCTGGATCAGAATGAGAAGGAGGTCCGAGTCCAGGAGGGAAACTGAGCAAGTAGATGTTTCTCTCAGGTACTAATAACAAGGATGCAGACAAGAAAAGGCATTTCTATGGGCTGGAAAGAAATTAATAACCTGGTTTACTGGTCAGATACAGAAGTGGTCAGCTCCAGGAAACAGCATCATTTTGTGTGTTTCTGGCACAAACCACAAATCATGACAGAAGTAAGAAAGCAAACAAATTCAGCTTTTTAGCCAGGCACTGAAGCAAATAAGTCAGCATAATGTTTCAAATTCACCTCATGCAGGCGTAAATTCACTCTAAGAACAGGGTTAGATGATTCCCATCTCACCACTGTTCCTCTTCAAATAATTAACTGAGTTTATTCAATGGATTTTCTATGAAAGACTTAGAGGTATAAACTCTGGAGTAAGGAACACAGTTAAATTTGCAAAGCAAATCCACAGAGCTATAATAAGCTTTTATTAATGCAAACAAATCATTCGTCCCTCTCCCCCCAGATCTCACAAGATACAAACTAAAGAAATGGCACACGACAAGGCAGGTCACCTCCCTGGAATTTTATTGGTGTGTACTGAGCACTGACTGATAACTTCTAGCCCTTATGCCAGTTATTAGCCATCAATCTTATTCCAGTTAGCAGCTCTCCTCTGGCACCAGCACCGTGGCTCTCCATCCCCAAGCTGCAGCCCTCCTCTCCTGTGACCTGAAATGAGAGGGGCTAGGACCTTAAATCAGCATCTCCCTGTTTTTCTCACTGGCATCAAATCTTACTCTATCATTCACTTCATCATGTCACTTAAAGTGGCTGCAGAGATTTGCATTAGCCAATGCAAAAATGTAGAGAGAAAGAGGTTCAGACCGGTAGTCTGCGATGACAGTTACACTGTGTCTCTGTCTTCAAGGGCAGGAGAAAACCACTGTAGGCTGCATGTAGATCAAATATTTGTTAATATTACAATATTTTCAATCTCATGCTTCTCCCTTAAAAACATCGGAGACCCCTTTGCTCCCCTCCCATACTGGCCCCTAGGAGCACTATGAAGTGAAACTGAAGATGTCTGGATGACCCCAAACCTGGCTTCAGGTCTGCCAGTCTAGAGGAGGGGACCTGGAGCCCAGATTCACAGCTTTTCAGGAGAGCAACATTACCAGCACTGTTCTGGGCACTCAGGGGTAAATTTTCCTCATTTTCTCCTCCTGCTGGAATTGATATAATTTCCACAAAGACTAAAACATTCAATGAGCCAGATCAGTTGTCATCTGGTGAGGGCACTCAGCTCAGAGGAGAAACCCTTATGTTCCAGACTTTGTTCCAATAAACATTAAACTGCTTTATAGATTCTGGAAACCATTAACGGAAGAGATAGCATTTCTCCATCCCAGGATACTGCCTGATTCATGGTGCTTGCTAGGGGAGTTTCCAGGGACACGAGGGTGCCAATGACCTCCCACGGAACATGCGGTTAAACTAGGTTCTCCAAGTGCTCCAACCACCATAGCAGGTGACTTCACATTCAGTTATATGGGTTAAGAGGCAACCATAATCCACAATAACCCGTGAGATGTGCCTAAACCCAGCCTTTGCTGCATTTGCCCTGATTTTGCCAAGGGATGCTCAGAATAGAAATAAAATTAAATTATTTGAGTAGAGCAATCCTTTTCTTCCAATCTACAATAAACGGTTTTCAGTTCAACAGGAGTATAATAAACATTGTCATTCTGGATTGGATCAAGCTGTTTTTTACTTTCTCCCTACCCCACTACAAACTAAAAGCTTCACTATTCACTTAGGAGAGGGAATGTCTCCTGCAGAGGCATCATCCTCACCAGCTTTTGTTAAGATGCTGCATGAAATACAGTGTATTATGGATGCTTAAGCAAACCAGACAAGATTTCTCAACAAAAGAGATAGAAAAATGTTTTTTGATGAAACTGAAGATATTTTCACAAGAACACGTTAACTTCAAATAAGATTGAGAGAGAGGAAACCTGATTGTGGTAGCGTGCAGTTCCAACTACCTTAGTTTATTTAGATCCTATTTAAATATATCATTTTGGCTTCATCAGATCATTGGACTACATTCTGTCTGCTGTCATATTTTAAACTGTATATATATCTATTTTATAAAATATTATGCAATTTAATATTCTGGCATTACCAAAAAAAGGGAAAAAAATACTAATGAAGCAACGTGAGATGATCAGAATTCATGAGAATTTCCAAACTGTTTTTTCTTTCATTTACATTCCACAGAAATAGCTTTCTACTTTTCTCTCCAATTTGAAACAGAAGAAATTCTGAACTATATCCCAAGGGATAGGATTGCTATAATCCATAATGCTCTAATAGGAACTAGCACTAATGCTCTTCATGTTGCGGATTATGACATGCTCTAACTGCTGGGACGACAGGGAATGCTCTCAGGGCAGACCAACGTGGACAAGGCAGAGCGCTGTGCAAATGCAGATTTGTGACCTCTGACAAGAAGAACGTGCCACTGGGAGGTTGGAAATCGTCTCCCATGAATTCTCTTGCCGGCTGCTGGGCCCGCAGCTAAGTGCAGCCTCACAGTCCCATATCAGGCTTCCTACACCCCACAGGAGTGACACTGGCAAGCAGCTCTCCCCACTGCTGACTCTCCTGCATAAGTGGAAGCCCACACTGTTCGTATCAAAGAGGAAACCTCACTGTAAGGCTTATTTTAAAAAGGAACCATATGATGAGGCAATCTTCTGGTTGCTATTTCATCATCCTCCAATAAATGACAAAACCCAACAAGCTTCAACAAATTCAAGAGCAGCCTTGATTCTAGACCCTTTTACCAAACCTTGCTGTGCATTTGTACTTTCTGTTTTCCCAAAAAGCTAGGACCCTGTGCTATGGCATCACTGAATGAAGCTTAAATGCCTTGCTTCTTAAAATACATTAGCCGCTTGTCCAGCCCTCGGCCTCCAGCAGAGTTTCCTCCTGAAGGCCAGTCTGGCATCTGCCTTCAGTCACCAGGAGCTCCCTAATCCCATTTTTGAAAAAAATCCACTACTCTGTTGATATGTGCAGGCGCACCCCCAATTTGACATGATTTTCAGATAAAGCACAGGAATAGGTGCTCAGTCAGCCTCCCCACCCCAAATAAGATGCAGAGCATTTGTGCAGACAGGGGAAACCCAGCTCTCAGGCCACTTAATCTCCAGAGAGGACCCACAGTTTACAGAGGGACTCTGGAGCATCTGTCTCCTCTCAGCCAGCTGCAACCAAGAGCAACTCCTGCCCAGCTGCACCTTGATTTCAAAGCAGATGTTATTATAATAAGAAATCCACCACAATTGATTTTGTGTCAGGACTGGAGGTACAGCAGGAGGGTGGTTTGCTCTGCTTTGCTTTTTTTCCTAACAGACTCAGTATCTAAAATGATCTGCAAGTGGCAATTATAATGACAATGTACATAGAGAATAATAATGCATACCATTTTCTATGCCCAGTGCTGAGACATGAACTGAGAATGCAGCTGCATTTGCCTCAAATTTATATTGGTTTCAACTTCCTCTTGACTCTTACTCTGATGCAGCTTGTGAAAACTCATAGCCAAGCACATGAGTTGATGCTCAGAAAGTTGGGATAGAATCTGGGAAAGGTGATAGTGTGCAGTTGAGAGATCTGGCAGAATGGGGAAATAGGGAAAAAAAGAAAAAAAAAAAAGGGGGGGGGAAGAATGGCTACAAAAGAAAAACTTCCTCATTAAGTAGCCACCAAACACAGCAAAAAGAAAACAATCAAATGTGAGAAGGGATTTGTGGAGAGTTCAAAGTTTTAAAAAATTCACCGAGAAGAAAATCACTCTGATTTTATAAGGTGAGAGTGAGACAGGGATTACTCTTCACCTAACCTGGAAAAGTGGTAGGCAAAACACTTCCAGTTTCATCTAAAAATGAATTTTATGCCCCATTTACATTTTCATTATTTATGGAGTTTTTCTGATAAACCCTCCTGCTGGGAAGGAGATGACCACAGTTCCACATCTGTTTACCTTTGTTTACAGCTGGGAACACAGCCATGGATTTGTTCTGCATCATCGAGAAGGCAGACTGATTTGATTACTGCTTTCTAACATACGAAAAGGTTGTTGCTAAGAGTCTCACTTAGGAGAGAAATGACAGAAAGCTGGTTTTAGCAAGTTACGGGAAAGGTGGGGATGAGAAAGCTAAAGGCCAAGATGACACCCTCTGGTCTCCAGAATCCCACCACTGAGCTTGGTCAGCCAAGGTGAGACCAGGGCCCTGTTGCTCTGAGCAAGACTCCAGGTCCCATCACTGCAAAAATGTTTGCCCTGATTTCAGCAGAGACAATACCTGCATACATCACTCCACTCTCTCTGTGGTGCCTGTGGGGATGATTCAGGGGTATGGAGGCAGGTGAGGTATATCTGAAAAAGCTATGGGCAAGACTCTCCAGCACAGAGTCCCCTTCAGACCTGGCGCAGGCAGGTGTAGGCAACCTCTGACGGGAGGCCTTTCAGCTTGTCCTTGTCCTTAAATACAACTCTCTTCTCTAAATTATTCAGTCATGTCCTTGTTCACTCAGGCCAGCTTCTGTCATCCCAATTTGTGTGAGGTGGTTTCTGTTCCTGAAGGAAGCCCAGCGGCACACTCAGGAATGACCCCAAACCAGAGCTGTGAAATTACACTGGGATTTCTTTAGCTTTAAGAAAAGTATATGGGCTTTCCTAAAATGTCTGGGAAACAATGCAGCCTTTCCAGTGAAGGTTTATTTGAATAATCAGGAGAGAGAAGAGAAATTTTAAACACTCTCAGTTCAGCTATCATCTGCTACACTCTTACACTGCCAGGACAAGCAGTAGATCAAAACCTGCTAGAGGATTTCTGACAAACTGACAGGACTTTTCATAAAAGCTCCTGATTACACTGAGGAGCAAAGGCACTGATCCGCATCTCACAGCTGGGGTTGACTGATTCTGCTCTGCTCCCTCTCCTCCTTGACCTACCAACCTTCCACTCAGCTGTGGTTTTACTGCAGACCCCTGTGAAGGTCATGCATGTAATAGCAACTTACCTGAGGGTGAAATGATGCACCGGGAAAGGGCAGGTTACCACCAGACTGGAGAGATTCAGAAACATCAAAGCTTGGTTCAGCTGTAATGGCATTTTTTTCTGATGACCAGGTGGCTATGGCTAATTTGTTTTACTTTTGTTTATCTTTGCACAATACGAGACTAATTTTATGTAGATCACAGTAGCAAGCAGTTTTTCCATAAAGAATGGGATATTTACAACTCAAACATAATGATGCACTAGAGAAGACAGAGGCCTTGAGAGATGGAGACACAGGAGGTGATGCAGAGGAGCGCAGACATGGGGTGTTAACGTGAGGGGCACAGGCTGGCCCTGGAGACCCCACAGCTATAAAACAACTCACCAATGGTGGGTTAAAGAAGTGGAGATCTGGAGCTGGACAAAACTGATTCTAGGGTTAAGGAAGAGAACAAAGGCACAGTATCTAACATACATAAAAGGCAGCATAAATAGTAAATGTCAATGTAAGGTGGAGCTGCAGACTGAGAAAAGAGCAAGGTCCAAAAGGGTATTAGAGTCAAATGGCAAATCAGGTTTTGGGGAGAGAAAGAAGGAAGGAAAGAGGAGTGAGGAAGAAGAAACCATCAACACCATGTTCCTCCCAGTGAAGGGCTCCAGATGCCAATGAGTGTCCCTGACACCCCTCCACCATGACCAGACTGGAGCTATCAACAGTGGGCTCAGAGGGCAGTCGAAAACTAAGCATAACACCAAGAAAAAGGTGTAGAAATTAAGAAGGTATATAAATAAAAACTTTAACCATATTATTGTTATTATTAATGCTTTGTCTGTATAGAAGTATTCCTTCTTTTTCTGTAAACAGATCAGCACTAATAATAATTCTTGCATTAGACTGTTCAGTTTTCAGTTGCCTTTATCTATGAAGTGTGATTGATTTTCATCCACAAAAATGGTTTGAGTGTAACAAGAGGGAGAGAGAATCACATCCTAGATGGTCCTCACAGGATTGGAAGGTAGCTGAGAAAGACAGCCCTGCCAAGCCCAAACACCAAAAACATCCTGCACAGCACTTCACTGGCAGCTTGAGCTTTAGAAAGCTATAGTGTGAAGAGTGAAAGAGAAACAAGCAAAAAGAAGTCTTGCATTCAGAGTAACAGCTGCAGCGATTACAGTAGAAGCGTACCTGTGGGCATGCCTTGGCACCACGTAACTAGCGCCAGGCAAACCATGTTTTGTTTCTTTCATGATTTACATAATCAAAACTTGGTGTCCAAATGCTATGTAAGTTAAAAACATTGAAACTTTTCTGGAAAAAAATTAATGTCTTCAAACATTGAAAAATTCTCAAATTTTGCCAAGTCTGACCCAAATTCACAAGGCAGCTTTGGCTGAACTGAGCCAAAAAGTTGAAAAGAAATACTGAAAAAAACTCAAATTTTAGCCAAAGCCAAGGATAAGACAACTGTTGTGATATCAGGCAAGAGTTTAAAAATCTACAGGGCTTTGTCTGGAGATTTGGAATTGAGAGGGGAGTTGTTGGGGCTTTTTTGTTTGTTCAGAGAAAGTGAACTTTTTTTAAAAAAAGAAAAAAACAGCTAGGTGATGAATTGCTCATGAGTTTCTCTAGGACATTTACTATCCTAGAGTCTTACACAGGCTGCTCTGAACACTAAATGTCTACATGAATTCAAGGGGAGAATGGATGAAAAATCATTATTAAATACACAGAATTAAATACATGGTCTAATACATACATTATGAAAGACACAGCAAACATATCTGGCCCTACAACAAAAAAGGTTGGAGAGTTTTGGGTAGAAAATACCACATATACTTGTCCTTCACCATTGCCTAGTGATCCACCTGAGGCCATTGTCAGAGGTCATGGCAGGAGATGGGGCTCCTTGCACCTTTGGCCTGACCCAGGACATCGACCCTTACATTGTATGCAACATCTTGAGCAGATTGGAAAGAATTGTTTACCTTATCTCACTGAGATGAGGGGCGAGAAGTATGGTCAGACAACAAATCTGTGGTAAACTCGGATTACAAATGTCCTGTCCAAAGCCTACCCAAGGACCCAGGTTATCCATCCTCTCTCCGTGGAGCACACAAATGCCAGGAAAGGACAGTTTCCAGAAACACGCATCTCAGGAGGCACCGAAATCTGTAATGAGAGTGAGCCAAGCATCACTCTTAGAGCAATCCCACTGCAGTTTGTTTGCTCAAAGGTATTTACCGCCAGCCCCACGTCTTTGCACACCAGTTGCTGCTGCTCCTTCAGGCAGCTAGTCACTTGTCTGCTCTCCAAATACTATTTATTACTGACTCGTTCCCAAGGTGATTCAATTAAGAAGTCAGAGAAGCAGCCACATTGCTCACAAGGCAGTAAAGAATTTTTTTTACGGTATAGTTTGCCATGTGTTCTTCTCTCCTGTATGTAAAGGGAATAATAGGATGCAGTAAACTGCACTAGACAATAAACATCTGTTACAATTATTTAAATGCCTCAGACTGACTTCATTGTTTAATTGCCTGCAAAGAAAGCCATTTAATGCCCTTATATATTTTTTCCACTGCCAGAAACACTATCCTTTAAACATAAGATACAACATTTTAAAACACAAACATTTCTTACGATCCTGCATTATAACTGCCATGCTGTAAAATATATCCTGGTTTCAGGGTTCCTGTATTCAGCATCACTCCCTCCTACAGATGCACACAACTCCACGGCCTTGAAAAGTACAGTAGTGTGGTGGTCAGCACTGCTTTCTCATCATACCTTTTTCCCTGAAAGAGAAAGAAAGAGAAATCACATATCACTGTAAAAAATCCCCACAGCTGGTCAAAGGCAATGCATACAGAAAAAACTACACAAAATAAACAAAAACCCTAATTCAAGTGGGATTAAATGGAAGAATCCAGGAGTGTTTGAGGCAAAGGAAAAAAACAACGAAAAAGCCCCAACGCCATCGCTCGGTGCTGACTTGCTAGGTTTAATGCTCAACAAACATGCTTCAGTGAAATCCCTGGGTATCACGGAGGCTTCAAAAGCTGGGAAGAGAGCAGGGATGGCAACCAATGCATCAGCTATGATGCTGCCAGCTGTCATTTACATTGCAGCCTGCTTGAGGAGCTGTGCAGGTCCAAGGGCAGGGAGGGGTCCCTCAAAAGCCAGGTCACAGGTGTTCGATAAACCTGCGGCAAACCCATGACACTGGCCCATGTGTGTTGTCCTAGAGAGCACAGAGGTGACAACAAGAAAAATGGGGGTAGAGAGGAGATGAGTGTTAAGAAGAGAAAGGCATGATTCTGTTTAGTCAGCCACGACTGTTTTAAAGTAAGATGTATGTTTTTAATGAGATCTTAAGCTCATGTTATGGAAGTTATTACCATGCCATTACATACACAACTCCATCTGAAAAGCTACCTATTAAAGCAGAAACCCAGTGACTAAGAAATATCAGAGCTAAAACCACCCACACAGCTTCCTTACTTCAGCTTCAAGTTAAAATACAGCCTTTATTTACATGATCGTAGACTGTATTTTTATACAAAATCCCTATCTTCCTCAGTGAGTGGCTAAATATTTCTATTTATTTTTACCCTGCTATTATAATATGCATCCCTTTATCCTTATTTACTTCACATCACCCAAATTGTGCTCAGACAAAACTGGTGTTTTCCTCCCAGCTGTTCTTACTGCAGCATCTTATACTCCACAAACACCAAGGATTCCTTACAGTTCGGTTAGAATACCTGGGAAAAACTTTTCTCATTTTACCAACAGAGGACCAAGAGATGGAGAAACTTAAGTATAGGACTATAAAAAGCATCTGAAAATTTGGAATAACAAGGCTGAGACTCTCATTTTCAGGAGTACTGAGCTTTCTTATAGCTCATCATCTAAAGCTCCCACCAACTGCCTCTGCAGTTAGCTCCTCTAAAAAAACGTCCTGTCTGTCTTGCCTTGGACATGCAGAAAGAGAGAAGCATGCACTTTGTGGTCAACTTTTCAGCTTGAGGGATAGAAACCAAGTTTGTGGCTGAGCAAGATGCAGAACCTAGTTCTCCACAAAGGCGTCAAGCCTCCCTTCTGAGACTGTTTTATGACTTTCTGCAGTATCCTGCCTCATTCATTATGCATTTCCAGACTATTCCAGCAAGCAAAGCCAAAGTCCTCCAGACAACAAACGGCTTCACTACAGACTCCTGCTCCATTTCATTAGTTTCTTCTGCTGTTCTCTTGGGCACCTACTGAGGCAACCATCTGCAGAAAAAATAACAGAACACAATATTTTAATTAAAGTCTACATTACTGTGCATACACAGAACCAAGTTACTGATATATTATATTGCTCTGTCTTAACTCCTGGGAGTTAGTATTTGAGCCCCAAGCATTCTTCCCATCCTTGTTTGTGCACAGGTAGGAGGACATCCTCAGGTTTCTAAAAAGACAGAAAACCAGGGGAAACATATTGGCACATGCACGACCCCTCAGCCTGCACAAAGCTGCTTTGCACAGAACGGATTTTAAATAGAAGTTAAGGTGGTACCTCTGCCACTTGACAGTGAGTGTATTACATGGTGTATAGTTAGAAGAAAATCATCCATACACAGATGTTGGCAGTGGATTTCAGATGCATTTTGTCAAGCATAAGAGTCCAGGCAATAAATGCTCCCATGTTCAGGGAATAAAGTATATACTTATGTACATGTGTAAAAGTATGGAAATATATGCAACAATAATTTTTGAGTGCATTCAAAAACTGCAATGGTGGGTAGCACAGCTGTATCTTAAATTACTAAATGAGCAACCACACAGCCCTGGGACTGCTGTGACCTTCTCCCCAGGTTCAGCACTGTTGTAACTCTCACTGTTGTTCACATACATGGCTCCAATCCCTGCAGAAGACCTATTCTTCAGCCATCAACCTGCTGGCTTGGTTTCTCTATTGTGAACACTTTATGGGAGAGGGGTGTTATCTGGAATACGCAGAGGGAAAAACTGATGAAAAAAATTCTCCTGCTTTGATTGACTTTTCTAACAACTTTTAACCCTGAATAAATTAACCAGAAAACAAACAAACCAACCAATTCAGAATTTTTGTAAAAGAAAAAAAACCAACTAAATACCCAAACTGTTCTATGAGCAGCAGAACTAATGGAACTTTCTTTGCCATGGATTTGTGACATGTCCCATAAACTTTCTTCTCCTCCTAGGTGCAATAACTCCTACTGCCTACTCTCATTTGCCTTTGATAGCACCAAGAAAGGGAAACATCTGTGGCAGTCAATTTGAAAACACCTGTAAGCAGGTCGGCCAGCAAACACACACACTGAGACATTGCCCATTGCCGACAAAGAGATTCAGTAAGACCTGACACCTTGTCTTTTTCTCATTGGCTGCCTCTAGACTATCAACAGGGACTTTGTTTTTTGGACACTTGTATGTCCCTTTCAAATGAGTTTGAAACCAGCCAACAGAAAGAACAGTTGGTCAGTGACATGTATCACATCAGTTTTTGGAGAACTGTCCAGCCAAGTTCCCAGAACCATTTCTTCAGTTCAACACTGTATGTGGGTAACCACATGGCTTAGTTGGGGAGGTGATGATACTGCAATTATTAATGTCATATAAAATTAATAAACTCAGGTTAATTCTCTTGTCTTCCCAACTATAAGCTTATCTCAGCACAACATCCTTGAAAATGAAAACCCATAATGCTGGTTTTGTGCTGTAATTGGAACTCATATTTATGACAACAGACATTTTTCAGCAAGGCGTTCCTCAAACATTTTGGATGGACTTGGCATGAGGCCTTTTATGAGCCCCACTTGGCACGAGCCCCACATTTAAATATGCACAAAGGACACAGCATTGCTGTCTAGTCTGAATGCCTCTGCATCTCTCCTAGGCATCAGGAGTTGCTTCTTTGCTTAATGGACCTCATGGGTTTTATCCCATCCTTAAGAAGTCTCGGGCTTTCAAGAGGAACAGACTAAAACAGTTTCCCTGTGCATTGCAGGACTTTGGCAGCCATGCAAAAACCATAATCAGAGCTTGTCTGTTGGTGCAATCAATACCCCAAAAGCACATATTAGAGACAGATTCAAATAAGAGGGAAAATAACTGGTCAACCAAAGCAAACTCTGTGAAAGATACTGCTTTCAAAAATGCAGAGGAATTACTGCTGTGCTACCCATCTGGTAGAAACGATGAATCAATAGATATTCAATTTGCCCTGAAAAAGGAAAGAGAAAGGTTTCCAACATGAACGTGTCTATTATTTCATCAGCTATTTTGTTTGCACATTTCAGATGGAAACTTGGCCAGATCAGTCTGGGAGCTCTGAGTACTGTCAGTTTTGTTAGAGTGCATTTAGGCACCAAAAAAAAAAAAAAAAAGCAGGATCCTAGTCAGCTAATTAAATCAGGTTGCCATGTTTGGAATAGCTACAGCCCCCAAAATGAGCAAAACCTCATTCAGACAGACAGAAGCTCTAGACCAAATGTTGTTTTTCTTTCCCATCTGTTAAAAATAAAACCTGCAGAATGGCATGCCAGTTTATCAAAGTCCATCCCACTGGAATATTAATCAGTGCATTGTATTTGATATTTATCTGCCTATAAACATTGCTTAACATTTTGCCTGTCTTTGTGCATTTTCTGCTGTTGGAAGAACTCTGACTCTGCAGTCTCATCATCTTCTTGCAAAAATTATCTTTGCTACTACTAAACAAACACAGAGCTTTATAGCTTTTAAGCAGTGTAATCTCTGTTCCTAGATGGAATACAGTTGAGGTTTCATGGATGTGGTTAAACTGACCGTGAAGAGAGTGAAAGAAGGGTAATAGCAAAAGAAAGCAAGCCACTTCACTGGGAGAAAAAACAGAGCAGGGTGCACCCTGCTGGAAGGCAAAAGAAATGGGAAACCAGGAAGGATGTGGAGAAGGAAAATATGGAGCATTTAGGGAAATGGACTTTATTCATGGAGCAGTAGCAGAAGACAGATGAGGAGAAAAGCTAAAGAGTGCTAACACACAGAGGTGGAAGTGAGCTTGAATTTTTTGTAGCAGCAGGGATCTTTGATAGTGCTAGAGGTGGGTAAAACATTGAACGAAGGCCAGCTACACAAGAAACACAGCAGTTGAGTCAATCCAAGCTGAAACAATTGATGGTGTGAGCAGCACAGGGGTCAGAGAGAGACAGGCTGCAGAAACTTGGGAAGAAAAGCAAAACATCTCAGTGAAGTTCAGTGGTGGGTGTAAAATGAGGAACCATTTATGTTCAGCATGACTGAAGCCTCATCAAAGGGAGAGCAGTAGATTTATCAGCGGCCATGGGTAGATATGTCAGAGAAATGTGGAGACACCACACTATTCCATGTTGAGCCTGCTTCATCGAGTCCTGCTGGAGGTGAAAAGAAATAGTGGGAGAGGACAGAGTGGAGAGGGATCCAGGCCAGAGAGATGTCAATGTTTTGGCAGCACAGCTGAGACGGGATTTGTGCGGGATCCCCACCGGATCAGCAGTAACCCACAGAAAGCTGCTTTGCTTTGAAACAAAGCACCTCCATCTGAGGAGTCTGGCTTAATTGCCAGTTTTCCCACCTCATGATCACCTTCTCTAATGTCCTTTTAATTAATGTGCTCACAGTTGTATCAAGAGAGCAAACTACAGTTATGATAAGGACCAAATAGCCCATTTGTCTGCTTTGAACACCTCCAAAACCCATGCACTACAATTTCATATTTACACTATCGTACCATTCTGGGTCATATGCCACGCATAGACAGCTCATGAGGTAAAAGCAAACTAATGACCACTGCTGAATTTTAATGAGAGTCACTCGTCTTACCTGAGCTCTTATTTCTTCATCAGGCATGGACTGTCAAACACTCAAAGATGGCTTGAAGTTTGTCTTACACTTGTAAATATTCAATCACAAGCATAAGGTTCCCTACACTTCCTCATCATGCTCCTAAAACATTCATCATATGAATTAGTTTAAAGAGACGTCTGGGTCAGAAATTCAATTAGAAGGAATAAAGAGGCATGAAGTCAATTCCAAAAAAACCCAACCCAAACAACCACAACCTGGCAACAATGAAACAGGAAAAGGAATGTCATAGGATCAAACTTTTGGAAAGGTCTATGGTTCCTCAGTCACTGACAAATTTAGGAGGCTGATTTTTGTTGTAAATTCATAGGAACTTATCCCACTAGACCACAGTCTTCCTCAGTGACACCATTTACCATGCCCAGAGCAATGGTGCCCTTGCTTTGAAATCCACAGCAGCTGGTGGGGACCCACTCTTTCGGAGAGAGCTCATCTGCAGAGATGCATGCTGTGGAAACCCATTGCCAGCATGGCTGCTGCAGGTGCAGAAGCCTCCAGAAGCAACTTCTGAGGAGGGCTGTGAAAGGTACTTAAAGAAAGGCAATAGGTTGAAACAGAAGACTGCACCTCCTGTGCAAAATGCATGTGCTCTGCAAACCGAGGGAAGTGTTGAAGCTTTGGCGCATGTCACTGATCGGTGCTTTTGTCGTTGCCTAGTTAGATGTAAAGGTCCTACTCTGTGACTGGTGGGGATAGGAGACCCGCATCCGAAGGATAAGCAGGGCAGATGAGTCAGGCCCCCATGCTAAGCCTGTCTCTTCCTCACCTGTCTGGGGCAGGAGGGGAGGGAAGGAACTGCTGATCTTCACTGATGCACAACTAGGACCGTGTTAGTGCCTTGCTGCCTTAGGGTACTCACCTCCCTTCTCCACATCCCCAGGGAGGCATCAGAGTGCTACCGCTGTTGGCACAGTGTGCTACTGCACAGGAAAAATCTGAGCCCAGCACACTATCTTTGGCCAACAGGTACTCCCTGGAGGAGTTTGGGGTTTTTTATATATATAGAAAGTGTTGCACTAGAGACACGTGCAGGCAGACTAACTTCCCCAGGACTCAGCAGCGAGAGATACTCGTGGAGCTCACAGCCAACGCTGCTCAACCTGGAGCTCCCCCACTGCCCAGAGCCATGTGGGCACATGGGGCATCTGTCAGGGTCAAGTGGGTCTGCAGGTTCACCTCAGCCTCTGAACACTTCCTCATGTTACACCAGCCATCTTAGGAGTATCCTGCCATCTTCCAGGGCTGAAGCATCTCAGAGCTTCCCCAAGACAGTGGACCGAAACTCATTGTATTTCATCTGGGATTCCAAATACTGATAACACTGGTGCAGTGCTATGAAAACACTGAGACCCTTGACCCCCATTTTGGGTTGCATGGCCTTGAAGGCTCACCAATTTTAATAACACTTGAAAGAATCTGGCTGAGATTTTGCAAGTGATATGAGGCCAGGAACAGGGCAAGTTTCACTTGATTACCTCACAAATGACTTTTTGTCTCGAGTTTTTATATACACTGAGCAGGCACCACTGAACATCAGGAAAAAAGCTGTATTTCATATAGCAGTCTTTCCATTCCCATCAATAGCAACAAGAATGTATTTAAGAAGCCCACTTCAAACAAGCATAACTCAAGTTTCCTCTGACAAGAAAACCATCATGAAAGAAGTACCTTGTCCATAAAAGACAGGAGAAAAAGTCTGCAGGGATCTTCCTCCTCCCTACACTTCTACCCTTCCCAGAAGGAGGAAGGGACAAAGAGGTGTGAGTTTTCATAGCCAGATGGAAAGAAATTTGGTAAACCCCTGGGTTAGAGACCAGGGATGTTTGCCCAGCCCAGCCTAGTACCGTGCCAAAAGCAGAGCACCAGCAGTTTTAATAAAAAGCACTAGATGGGAGTAAAACATCAAGCAAAGTCTGCTTGAGGAGAAGCAGGAAGGTTTTCCCGGACAGGGAAAGTGAGCAGAAGGTGATGCTGTGAACATGTGTCTTATTCTGATGCAGCTCCAGAGGAGTCTAAGTTAACTTAAAATAAATGTGTCTGGAAGTGCTGTAATAGAATTTGGTGCATGGACAAATAAGAACAACTGTCCAACACAGAGTTGTTATCATTCGAGGGAAATAGAGGGGCTACTTCATAGACTAAATATTTTCTCTCCTTAGGTAAGTGCCTAGGTGATGTTGGGTGGTGCTGGTTCCCAAATGCAGGTGGTATCTATCATTTAGCTGGCAGTGGAAGTTGCTGCCCAGAGGTCACACACCTGAGCCAGAAGGCTAGAAACTCAGCAATATGGGGATTTCACAGATTTTGCTTTAAAAGAAGAAGCAGCGTTTACAAAGCAGAATGATGTTTACATGCTTGCAGAATATTAGCAGTGCAGCCTCCTCCTCCTCTAAGCCCATTACCGGGAGAGAGCAGTGCTTTCTCTACTTTTCAGAGAAGACTAAACGAGTTATATTTTCTAATGAATCCTCTCAATTCCCATTTGCGCAGAAGAGGATGAGCTCATCCCACAGATATGTAAATGGTGTTTGCAACACCCCCCCTCTCTCTTTCCCCTGGTGTTCAGGAGGATGCTCTATTTCCCCAGTGCAAGAAGCCATTCTGAGGATATGAGAATATGTCACATACCATACGCACCACTACATTCAAACTCATGCACCCAGGCTGAACACAGCAAGTGCTGGCAGGGAAATATTATTTCTGCTTTCTTTTCTTTTTCCTCCCTTAAAAAACAAACAAAAAAACCCACAATAACTTTAGGGCTGTTGGTATGACTTTAGAGTTGATGAGAAATATCCAGGATACAGACCTCTGACAAATAAATGCCCCAGATCACAGTAGTTTAGCACCTCTCTGCATGTAGGTGCTCTTGTCCAACCACTGGAGTCAATCAGGAGCAATATCCCACAACTTGTCGAAGCCCTGTGCAGTTCATCACCCAGGGAAATAAGGCAAAAGGTCCTGTGAGTATTTCAATTTCCTTACCCTTTTTCCTCACCAGTTAAGCACAGTCTCTTCCCTGGGTTGCAAAGCTAAGCAGGACCTCCCATTAACTCTCCAGATGGACACCCCTCTCCCACCAGTGAGAGGCTCCCAGGTCCCACCAGCAAGATGTGCAGCACTGTTCCCCCGCATTGGAAACAGTCAGCCCTACCACCATTTCCAGAGAGGAAGCACAACAGCATTGCATTCATGACTGGCCCGAGCTGGGTTGGGTATAAATGATCTCAGAGGGAAAGGAGAATCACCTCTCTGGCCCATTACCTGCCTTTCAGATCCTCATGGCAAAACCCAAGGCTATGATGGGCAGCATCTACAAAAACTGGACAGAAAAGCAGGTTGAGGAACAATGTTGTGACCCCACCATTTACCAAGCCCTGCACAGACCCAGACTAGGACCTCTTCCTGCCTTAGGAAGCCCTCAGCTTCAGGGGAGGTGAGGGGAGATGCCCGTCCATGGCCAAGTCAGGAAAAGGTTTTAGCAGGTATAAGTCAAGGCTCAACATCAGTGCCCTTATAGACAGTTTGGAGCCATTACACAATGTGGTCAGGATGGAAGAGGGAATCTCTTCATTGACAACAAAATGCTGCCCATCTGTTGGCAAAACAAAATACATGCCAAATTACACCCTCCAGAAAGGGCATAGCACAATGCTGCCTCCACACGCTCATCTCCAGGTGCCTGGAGCCATGTGGGTTCCAAGGTCTGTGCTCTGGGGCAATCAGTGCTGGTGAGAGTATCAAGGTTGTGGAGGATTACTCCTCCTTCCCTACCTGCTGCCTTCACTGCTGCTTGTTCCTCTCTCCCCCAGCATATTCCCACCTCTTTCTCTTTGCTGACATTTCTCTTTCCCTCTTGCACCTTGTCTCCTTCCCTGTAGTTTATCTTCTGTAACATCAGCCATGGGTTGACCTGATAGTGCCATCGTCCCTGGAGAGGGCACCATGCAACACGCCAGCACAGAAGTCCAGCAAATTACTAGATTACTTGCCTGCAGCTTGGAGCACTTAACAGTGCTGTCTCCCTCCTTGAAATAAAAGCAAACCCTGCTTCAAGTGAAAGCCAGCAGCTGCTTAACCAACAGTTCCTGCAGCATTTGGTAACAAAGACTACTTCCCACCCCAGCTGAAGGACAGCTTTGCTGCAAAGATTTTTGTACTCTCACAAGTAAGCAACAGGTACATCAAGCGGAGAGCAATCTGTCATTGAGAGGCAACACTGGACTAAGGGATAGGGGGCAGGGGGAATACATCAATAACTTACAGGAAAAAGAATTAAAAACATTGTAATTAAATAAACCTTCAACATCAAAATGACTATATCCAACAGAGACAATATGTTTTTATTAAATCAGGGCCAGCATTTCCCAAAGAGATGGACCAGTAGGTAATTCATTCTAAACAAATCCATTTGTTTACTCAAAGTCCAATTGTGTTCCACTAGTATTAAATATTTATTTAATTTCTCTGTGCATAAATGATGGGACATACTAGCACAAAACAGTGACACTAAAAGCGATATCCATTAACTGATGCTTTGCGAAGAGAGGGAGAATGCTACCATGTATCTTGCATTATCATATAATGTAGGAAATAGGGAGGAAATGGCCTTTTCAATTCTCCAAAGCATGCAATTTTACAATTCTCAGCAGTCTTATCTTGCACAGAGATTAAAGCTAAACAAATAAATTAAAGCACTGTAATCAATGAATGCATTCCTTTTTCCTGTTTGTGAAGAGAGGAGGGAGGCTGAGCTAACATCAGGCAGTCAGGTTAATGAATGTGTTCACTGGCCAGAATTACTAAATGAGTATTTGTGCACACACACATACACTGAGCTATTGATTACACGTAACCCTATTTGTAAAGAAAACCCCTCTGAATAGTTTGTAGTTCTGATTAGGCATTGGATCTGTGGTGCTAACTGTGAGGACTGTGATTACCGAGTTTATTGATTTAACTGCACCAGCATAAAAATCTCTCTGCTGCAGGATATTGAATGTGCATTACAGGTTAGCACTCATATCATTAC